TAAGAATTTTTGAATTATTATTATTCTGAGAATGCTGATGTATTCCAGCGACCCTTTACGCCGCTCCAGTGAGACAATCCACAGGAGCTATACCAAAATATGGTGCAGGTGGTGGTGGCCCTGCTGTATCCGGTAGGAGCAGCATCACCAGCGTTGATATTGGAGGCAAAAGAACCATCACCAGCTCAAAATATGGAGGAGGAGGTATTATATAAGTATAATAGTAGATTAGTAGATCAAATGACGCGTAAATCATTTGAAATAATAGTTACATATGTTTTTTAATGGTTGGCACTCTTCCCAGACAACGATAGTCTTTTGTAAAACAATTATGTCAACAATATTAAAAAGGAAGCAAATAATTGTAATTAAATGAAAATATGTAATGTTACTAGAGGCGTAGCTCTAGTATGAATGCATGTGTTATCCACATTAAATTTGCTTATTAACTATTCCTTCTAATTAAATGGTACTCACATTAGTTTTGATCTTAATTAGAAGCACACACTGGACACGTTTTGTTCAACACAGTTTAATGGAAGCGGAAGATTGTTGGCGACATCTATATTGGATTGTGCAATTAATATTACTATTTCAAGATGTAATTGTTTTTGTTTTGTTTTCTGTATAGGTTTGAGGCCACCTGGAGCAATTCCGAAACCCAAGTAAATATCTACGAAAATGTTCATCAATGAATGAATGAATGAATGAATTTTTCTAGGACGCTGAAATCGAACACGTCGACGACGTCGACCACCGTCGGTGGACAGACGGTGACCAAATCAACGAAGAAGATCGTCGCCGTTCCTGTGTCTCCGATGCAGATGCCGCGAGGTGCACAGGGAGGATTACTCCCTGCAGGTTACTACAACATGCCCATGCTGCACGGACCCAGGACTGCCCAAGGTCTCCCAATACTTTGATTCGAAGCAACAAAATACAAATTGATTTTTATTTTTGCAGGTAAACAGACGCAGTACTCGAGTCCTGCAGATTTGAGATCGCGCATGGATAACGTTCCTAAGCAACCGCTCACCAGGATCATGCCCGAGTACAGGGAAACGCAGGACTACAGAAGGATGCTGAAGGATCCGGGTCATCGGGATGTGCAAGCCGGTTGCATGTTCCTACCGCCGAGGGGACAGAGTCCGTCTCCTGCGCAACATCAAGGTCGTTTGGGAGCTTTGGACGAAAACGTAAAGTTGTAATAGAAATGAAGAAGCTATGATGATTTTCTTTTGGTTTATCTTCAGGTTGATCCTACTGAATTGGAGGATGAGTATGAAGATAGGAATGCTGAAGGTTTGTAGCTAAGCTCACGCTTTTCTTGTGTAATGATGTTATTACTTTAATGCTTTTTTTTAGCTCAAGATATGTCGCATCTAGAGGATGAAACTGAGATGAAGCTGATGCAATCGGTCGCAAAGAGCCCGACGACTGCGTTGAAAGCGGCTTCCACCAGGAAAACGAAGGCCACCACGCCTATGATCATCACGGAGCATGGACCTGTCGAGGCTCAGTCTGGTGTAATATCAACGAAAACTGTTATCCAGTCGCCCGGGCATCCGCAGATCATCGGCCATCACATGGCCACACTGAAGACCATAAGTCCTGGTTCCGCTCTAAAGGAGGAAATCAGCGTGATGAGAACCACCCCCAAGAAACCTAAATCTCCCGTACGTCAATTAACAATTCACCTAAGGGTTTTTTTTCCCTAATAGCTTTTAATGCAGGTGACCCAAAGAGAGGTGTTGCACGTCACCAGTTCAATCATGATATCGCCCGGCATCGTGCAGAAGACGAAGACCGTCACCTACGATGCGCCTCCATCTACCAAAGGACCCGAGAAACCGCTGCCCACGCCGCTTCAGCTCTCCATGCTCGTAGACGAAGAGAACGAGGATATTGAGAAAACCAAGGGTCTGCTGATTCCCATACTGAAGGTGTCGCAGCCGGAAACGTACGGCGTCCACAAGCATGTCGAGGATATTCAATTGGATCCGGATTCGGTTACGCTTTTGGAACAGGTTCAACAATTACCTGATTTGCATCGTTTTATTCATCACCTATTTCGTTTTCCTACTTTCAGTCTATGGCTCAACCAATTCCGACTCCCGATGAAGAGCAGGAAGAAGCGCAGCCGGAGATGATTGCGAGCATGTTGAATACGGAGGAACGTGGCTTGGCGTTGGGAGAAGCACCTGCCAATATATACAATTACCTCTTTGCCGATGAAAGAGTGGAGTGCGTGGACGTTTGTTCCGCTGCTCCTGTTCCTCTTCAAGACATCGTCGTTCCAATGAGCGTACCCAATCAGGTGCAAGAGATAGAGCAGAGTTCGGACGTTATACAAGCGTCGATAGTCGTTGAAAAGGATATAACGTCGCCGGTAAAGGAGAACATTTACGTGGAGACCGTCGGGAAGTCTTCAGCAACTCCTACGAATTCCGCAAGGAAAGGTTGTGGAATTTTCTTTGTTTTCAAACTTTCAATTTGATCTACATTTCAGGGAGTATGAAGCACGGCGAAACGACCATAAATACCACGCGTATATCGCCGCATGGCATTCAAGGTAAGTAACACTTTTTTGAAAAAGTTAAGCAGACATAATTTAATTGTTGCTCAGATGTGGAACCGGTGATCGACGTGGTCGGTGCTCCACCTGCTGGTGCTTTAAACGCATCCATGGTGGATGAAGAACCCCAAGAGTTGGATCCTACAGTGACCGGCATCGAATTCGTCCTCAATATGGAACCGCCGAGACATTCGTCTAGAGTGCAGCTGAGGGGTTCGCAGAATCCGCAATGGTTCCCAGGTCGGTTCGGTTGAAGAAGATGAAGATGGAGTAAAAGGTGTGATGAACCTTACGCTCGATGTTCTAGGTTACATGATTGCATTGCCGGATATACCTGATATCGTTTCGTTGGCGAAATCGCCGAGCGTCGTCTTCAATGCCGCATGGCGTTCCACGCAACCGGACATCTTCGACGAGAACAGCTTCTTGATTGCGTAACGAAGTTTTTGAATAGGGTCAATGTGATAAAAAAAAAGAGGTAGCAGCATCTCTTATTGAAATTGTAGTAATAAGATAAATCTTGTTGGGTGGATCTCAATAAAACTGCGTATTTTCGTTAGTTTTATTTTTACTCGTTAGATGGTCGTAGTTAGTTGAGAAATTTATAATGAAATAGTTAGGCAGACCACTATGCACAGTTTACTCAAAATTAAATATAAAAGTTCCATTTTCAGTGAACAAATCAAAGTAAAGACCAACCCTTGGGTAGTAGAAGCCAGACACTCCTTGAATTGATTAGTTGCCGGTGGAATTCGTGTGGAACTGTGCTGGGTTCTTAGTCACCAGGAAAGTAAAAAGTTTAAGTTTTTCTTTGTTTATTTGTGCAAATTTTATAATAATTGGTAATCGAATAACAACACAACTTTGTTGCAAAATAAGAAATGTAAAAAGTTTTAGCTTTTCTTTGTTTATTTGCGCAAATCGTTTAATAATTGGTAATCGAATAACAACATAACTTTGTTGTCAAAATAGTAAAAGTAATAAGTAAAATTTATTTTATGTTTATTTGCGCAAATCGTATAATAATTGGTAATATAATCACAACACAACTTTATTGCAAAATAAGAAAAGTAAAAAGTTTAAGTTTTTCTTTGTTTATTTGCGCAAATTCTATAATAATTGGTAATCGAATAACACAACAACTTTATTGTAAAATAATAAAAGTAAAAAGTTTATTTATTTTTTGTTTATTTGCGCAAATCGTTTAATAATTGGTAATCTAATCGCAACACAACTTTATTGCAAAATAAGAAATGTAAAAAGTTTAAGCTTTCCTTTGTTTATTTGCGCAAATTTTATAATAATTGGTAATCGAATAACACAACAACTTTGTTGTAAAATAATAAAAGTAAAAAGTTTATTTTTTTTATGTTTATTTGCGCAAATCGTATAATAATTGGTAATCGAATAACATCATTGCAAAATAATAAAATCTAACAAGATCTTTTAGTTTATTTGCGCAAATCGTATAATAATTGATCAAATCAAGATCACTCGTACACACTTTTTTTTCGATCACAGGCGGCTCGCATTGGCTTCAATCTATGTATTATAGTTTTCGTGTAAATCAATGAAATGTAAAAACACTGCTTTTTCGAGCATTTTTTAAACTTTGAACACGAATTACAGCCAAACAGCTAAAACCACAGTAATATATCGATAATTGCTAGATTTCCCAAACATTCAACTTTCATATGCATCTATTAGATTCATTGTATCAATTATAGTTTTCGAGTAAATCAATGAAATGTGAAAACACTGCTTTTTCGAGCATTTTTTCAAATTTGAACACGAATTACAGCCAAACGGCTAAAACCACATTAATATATGTGAAAACACTGTTTTTCGAACGTTCTAATTTCAAGTTTTCAACTTTGAACGCGTATTACAGCAATATGGATAAGATCCCAGGAATGTATCTATACTTTAGCAGATATTTGGAAAATTGCTCACTGCTACTAATATTCGCGCCTCCTCTAGGACAAGTTCACGCCTCCCCAGGGAGGCGCGCCTCACAGTTTGGAAAACGCTGTCCTAGAGGGAAGAAGCAGGCGGAAGAAAAAAAATATAAAAGTTAATTAAAAATCTACTTAGATTCTAATGAATTGCTAGAAATTGATTATATTTCATTCACTAAACATTTATTAGGTGATAAATGAAAAAAATAATAATATGTACACTGTAATAAAATTATTTACATTATGTTTGAGTATGGGTCAAAGTAGAGAAAAAAAAATAAAGAGGCAATGGCAACTGCTCAATAGTAGCAATAAATTAAAATATGTCTATTATATATACATGTACAACTTTATTTCAGTTTTTTTTTTATTTTCATTTTTTTTGCTCGCTCTGAAAGAGTATATTATATTCGTTTCATATGATGAGTATAAAAGATAGTTAGAGAGATGGATAAGAGAGAGGGGAATAACATTCATGTGTTTATTATTGTCATTCGGCTCGTCACGGCTCTAAAGTATTGTATAATAATATAATATACCTTTCGCTTACTAAATATAACTTATGCGCCACATTTTGCGTTTGCGTTTGTTATTGGTAAAATCCTCATCGGCGGTGTCTTTACTTTGGGGTTTCGCTCTTCTTCTGATTCTGATGATGATAGAAAGGAAGCTCACAGACCTTTGTTGAAGAACAGAATGTAAGGAATATCTTTGCCCAACTTCTTTTCCAGTTTCTCCTATTCAATTATTACATAAATTAGTTAGATTTAGATATGTTGCTCGAATCGATTCAAATTACCTTGAGTTCCGGTTCCAAATCGCTAAATCTAATCTCAGCCTTCTGCTTGAAGACGGCGCACGCCAGTGGCGTAGCGAACGTCAGACAGACTCCGAGGAGGGCGACTTGAATGGGAAGAGTTGCCCATGGGTATCTGCATAAGGTTCCTCTACGTTCCAAATGGTTCATGACGAAAGGAGTGAGAACTGAAATTTAAATTATTAGAGAAATGGATGGATGATTAGATGGACTGTAAGACTAACCCATGCCGGGGGTTGCCATGGCGATCCTACTGCAGATGACCTGCTTGATGCCGCTCTGAGCCGCGGCCTTGGAGTTGCCCAATCTGTTGTCGTTCTGATCATAGATGGGGGTACCGTCTCTAAGTTCCTGCGCTCTCATGAAGGGAATGTTGACGCAATTGGCGGCTGCCACTGCGGCGAATGGTACAAGACGACCGATCAACGGTGGACCATTCTTAAGGGCCTTGTTAAGACCCAGCGCCGTTGCTACGGCACCTCCTGTGGCGAAGACGTACGACGTCAGCAGTTGCCTAATGAAAGATCATATAGCTTTTAGCGACATCTCTAAACAATCATAAAACAAACATACTTATCGGATAGTGAAGCGTCTCCGCTACGGTTGGTGTAGTTGACAAGAGCATTGAAGGACTGATTGAGCCACTGCCAGAAGATGACGGCCGGAGTGGATTTGTAGAAAGCCATCATTCCACCGGTGATGAGCATGTTCATGGGCACTTGAGCGGACATCCTGCCGATGATGTTCATCTTGTCTCCGGTATCTGGATGGAAGGCGGAATCGTACAACTGCTTCGCCCTCCACAGTTCGTCCACGGACATGCATTTTGGCAACGGTTCACGACACCTACAAAAAAAAAATCGACAAAATAATATTAAATCTACATTAAAATAAAGAGTTTTCAAACATTTACAATAGTTTGTAACCATAGTTACATAAAGTTATTCAAATATTTCAAGTTTCATTATGACCAATTAAATCAAACAACTTGTGCAAATATTGTGACAACTTCCAGAATATTCTGTTTACTCTCTACGCACTACGAATCACACCGTCGCAGACAGTTGCAAATCCCGCAACAAACAAAAGAAAACAACGTTGCTCATCGCCTACGTCTGCGTAATTCCGTTGCGTAACGTGAACGCATCTGACGCAACGAAATTAAGGGATCAATAATTACATCAATCGCATTCATACAACCATCCACAATTTTCATTCGTTGAAACGAGAAAATACATTTCCTTAATTACTTTCATCAAAACAAAAACAATATGCAATTATTTTTAGAATCTCATTTTGGCGTCACTCGTTTCCAAGACAATAATAATAATAGTAAGAAGAAGAAGATGAGGAGAGTGAGCAAAAACAACAACAACTGCATAAAAACAGAAGTGAAGTAAAAAGGGAGCTATTTATAAACGGCGGAAAAGCACGCAATTTCAGTGAAAATTTCCGTCCTCTGAAACGCATTAGAAGTGCACGAATCTAATAAACGTTAAAATTCACGATTTAAAAAGACATGGATCAAAAGTGTTTTAATTAATTAATTAATTAATAGGTTGGTAATTGTGTTGTATTATCTAAACATAATTGTTTAAAGAAACGTTTCTATGGTTTTCTTATTAAAATTTACGATTAACACATTGACGACGGCATTAATTATAAATAATAGTTTTGTTGCTATGTACGCCACTGATTTTGACTGAGAATAACCTCAAATATCTTAAGTCAATTACAAACTTCAAACGCCAATACATTTCTTATACATATTTTAATAATTCTTGAAGCAATTTAGAATAATACGTGATATTGTGACATAATTTAGGCATACTTTGCAAATTAACTTGTGTAATCGAAGCGCAAAGGCATTAAAAATACAATATGATTATCATAAGCAGATATTATTTCGGTTTCTAAAAAAACATTGCTAATTTGTTCGAATTTTATTGAAACGCGGAAAAAGTGCTATAGGTTTTATAATAAGCAATAATAATAATATTGAGCATTGCAATTTCTATTCAAGTCGAATATATCATCTTGTGCTCTAAGCTTGTATTGTATTTGAAT